GGGTTGAATGGAATTGTCCATTTGCTGACCCCATTTTCTATTGTCTATTAAATTTTTACTGACCGGAATATTATACCTTATGACAATCTTGATTTGTCAGCTTCCCTGGAGGAGAAAATTCCTGACAGATTAGGAAATTACAGAATTTATGCATCTGCTTCTATCTTTGAGGCATGGCACTGGATACTATGAGTGGTACTTCACCCATCTCTCTCCGGCACTGTTCGTCTACTTGACTTTCCAGTTGTCACAAACTGAGCAGCTTTGGCAAATCATGCACTTTGATCATGAAGTTCCTGCCTTGGAGTCAGCTGACCATGAACTCAATATCCTGAACTGTGAGCCAAATTGAACTTCTTCACCGTTATGTTAGGGCTGTCAGGTATACTGTACTAGTGCCTGGAAAGTTAATGCAGACCTCCTCATTCAGTAGCATGTGTCTTTTCATTTCTCTCTCATATTTTCAATCTCTGTTTTATTAGCCAGCATTCCAGTCAATTTTTTCAAATTATTTTCCTTTCATTGTAAATATCTGTACCGTATTTGCATTGACTAAAAATGTTCATTTGAGTACAATAAATCAAGAGCAATTATTTCCAAGCATAAGATTCAGCCTTCCAAGAAACTCTGAGAAATCTGCTTTACTATTTTCTCTTCATTAGCTCCCAAGAATTCTATTTCTCAAAAGTAATTGGTAATTTTTTAAAAATGCTAACATTTTTGGTAATTCTAGGCCATAATTTGTTTACTAATGCAGTATTTCCTTCATTGGGCTTTCCATTGCAAGTTCTTCTGCATCAGCATTTTGAGTAATAAAAAAAGGCAGTTTGTGGTGGTTTTTCATGCTTACTTCAATTTTGCCATGACTAATGTAAAGTGATGGTATGTAGGAATCTTGAAAATAATTTTCCCAAATTTCACATTGAGTGCCAAGAACATTTTGTAAGTGTACTTATAATTTGAGTTAAACTCAAATAAAAAAACTAAATTAAACTGGACTGCAAAGTTTAATTTCCTTGGTGGGCAAAACTGGCATAGCGATTTTGATTGTATATAACCATTTATGATGATAAATGAGAATAGTTTTTGTGACTGTAGAAAAAAATAAAAAAATAAATTAGAAACTTTTCGTAAGGCATTAGTATGAAATACCTGATAAAGTAGCTTTTAAATATTATATGTCTATACAAAATATATTAGCTATGATGAATAGGGGTTTATTATGGGTGTACCATAATTTCAGCTCATTCATATTTCTAATAAAGAAATGTGTATATTGGTAAAACTTATTATGTTTGAGGTAAATATATATGCAAATGGAAATATCTGTACAGTCATGCAGTTTCTCTGAGATAAAATTTAAATACAAATTTATAGTTTATTTACATGACTCATTAATATAATGCTGTGTGTTGGTTGTTATAATGTATGGCATATTATTTTAGGGGACATTAATGGAATTAATTACTTTTTCCAAGTTATGTTGTTGGTATTACAGTTAGCTTTTATAGGGAATAAAAAGCTCTGGGAAGTAGAAATGTTAACTTGAGAAAGCATTTGTGGTCAACTGTACTTATCATCAAATCTTGACATTGCCATTAGCTATATGACTAGACATATTTTCTGTACCTCAGTTTCCTCACCCATGAAGTAGATGTGATAGCAAGTATATGATAAGAATGTAATGAAAATTAAATTAGATAAAAGTTTTAAAGCACAGTGTCTAATATCACACTTTGAAAATGTATTGTTTCAGACAGTTTACTGGATCCTGAGAATCAGAGAATACAAATAGATCTAAGTACAGTGACATCTATTTCTACCTATTTCATGGCTCTTGGCCCTTAATCCATTTCAGGTACACATCTATACTGACTAATCAATAGCCAATTCCTAGGATTTAAAGATGTCTTTTATTCTCTCACTGAGATTTTATAAATGTGTTCTGGTCACTCAACACACCTTTCCCAACTGATGGGATAATGTATTCAGTGACTCGAGTCTACAGTGGCTTTCTGTTATGCTGCATTACACATCTGAACTCACTGGCCGAAGTGAGGAACTCAGTCCTGAGGACTAACAGTAGGTGAGTTGCTACTATATGCAAATCCCTATGGTTGACTTTACTCTGCCAGGATGGAGAGACCTTCACATGCCCCTTTTAACATTTTTACCTTCTTGTGGGATCCCTACAAGACAAGATGAATATGTTTAGTAGAATATGAAGGTGCCTAAGTTTTAGAAGGCTTGCAACACTTAACTCACAGTAATGCATTAGTAATCAGATTAATGTCACTACAGTGAAATAACTAAGGCAACTAACTTATAAAGATACAAGGCTTATTTAGGCTCATGGTTCTGGAGGTCCCAATCCAAGCCTGGGAGACCCATTTGCTTTGTGCTTCTGGTGAAGGCAGTTGGGTAGTGCAACACTTTTTTGATACTATTATATATGAAATAATTTTGTTAATATGTTGTTTTGCTAATGTATTGAAATATGATTGATTTTTGTGTGTTGAGCTTGGGTCCTGAACCCCTGCTGAACTCATTTGATCAGTGGATTTTTTTTTTACACTGTAGATTCTTCATGACTTTCTATACATAAAATCATGCAATTTGAAATTATAGTGGTTTCTTCAAAGTTTCTTCAATCCCCCTTTCCTCCCCCTTTCTTGACTGTCATACTAGGTCAAACTTTCAGCACTATGCTGAAAAGAAAGTGACTCTCATTTCTGCTATTCTAAAGACATGCTTTCAATATTACCATTGTGATGTTAGCTCTAGGGTTTTTTATAGATAGCCTTCATCAAGTTGAGCAAATTTCTTTCTATTGCATATTAAGTATTTTTATCATGGAAAAATGATAAGTGTTTTCCATATTTACTAAGAAGGAATTTTGTATTATATTAATTTGGTATGTTACATGTTTCAGGAAATTAAATTAACCTTGATTTCCTGGGGTAAATTCTATTTGGTCATGATATACTACTACTTTTATATATTGAATTTGTTTGATGGCCTTTGTGAGGATTTTATATATGTATGCATATGAAACATTACTTTGCAGTTTAATTTTCTTATAGGGATTGTGTCTGGTATTTAGTATCAGGGTAATTATCTTTTAGGATGAGTCATTCAGTGCTTCTTCTAGTTTTGGGAAAATTTTCTAAAAGACTAGTCTTCATTAAATCTTTGGTAGAATGCACCAGTGAGATACCAAGAGCATGGTTTTTCCTTGAGAGCTTTTTAAAATAACCACATCAGTATCTTTATTTATTACAGATCTGTTCATCTATGTATTATTATTATTTAAAATTATTATAATTTTAAATAAAACCTTTGAGATATGCATGGCACAAGGACAATTCTAAGGGAAGGAAACAAAGGTTACATTTCTGAGGTAAATTTTCCAAGAGAATGAAAGCCACAGCTGTAGTACTGGCAAATGAGTCCCTACGACTTGTGTGAATTCTCATTGTATCATACAGCTTTCCTCACACAATGAATAAGATTATACATTCCCTTTGACGAAGTTAGTGGCACAAGAGTTAGAAGACACTGAAATCTTTAGAGAATTGTGGGTGCTTTGAATTAAATATCTATTGAAAAACAACTTTCAACCAAGATTTGGGGGAATTTGTAGACATATTGTTAAGTATTTTATTTGACACATTTTTAATCATCTGTACTATATCTGGAAGTTAGATTTTGGTAATGCTTTTGTTTTGCCTCTAACCTAATTTCCGTTGGCTTTTATGTGGCAGGGACAACCTTTGGGTGCTTCCTGATAAAGAAGTTTGTCTTTTTCTGCCAAACCTTTTTCTCTTCTCTTCTAAGAGTTTTACCTGTATAAGAGAAACCTGGGCTTTTATTACAAAGAATCAAGAGATTAGAAAGTTGTTAAGGTTTATGTTTAGCACTACCCCCCAAAGCCTCACATAGATGAGGTGGGACTTTCTTTTTCAGAGGTAGTTGAATCTGAAATGTGTGATGCTGGGGTTAAGGGTGTGCAATTACTCAACCACAATATGCGAGTGATTAGTTTGGCAACACCCTAATCCCCGTAGTCTAAATGAGATAAAAGGGGCAGAAAGACAATGTTAAACTCTCTCTTGTTACCTTTGTTACCTTGTGTGTGCCGTGTTGTTTCTGCTCTGCCAGGCCTGTTTGTCATCCCTGCCTTGGAGCCAGCTGATTATAGAGAGAAGCCTCTACAGATTGTAAGCCAAATAAAGCCCTTCCCTTTCAACTTCGGGTGTTGGCTATTTTGTCACAGCAACGAGAGAAAAACAACTAACCCAGAAGCATATAAGTATTGCAGAGGAAACAGAATATGAACAAAGGAAAAATCATGCATACTAGCATTGTGTGGGTGTTTTGAAGTAGTGGGATCAGAGTTTGAGAATTAAGAGATATAGAGAGGTAACTGAAGGAGGGAAAGAAGTTGTAGAAAATTGGAACCGGTTTTATATTTTCTGAGAAACATAAGTGAATGATTATGCTTACCACTGACCTGACTGTGTTTAGGCACAGGCTACACTATGTTCGTTTGGGCCATGAGGTTTTCAATTTACATTAGCATCACAGTCCCATTTTACAAGAACATATCTAATTTCTCCTTTTGTGCATATGTAGGTTATATATAAAAGAAGCTTTTGAACATGATTTGAATGAGACACATGATTTATTTACTCATTAACTTGAAACCAATTCTGTTCCAAACATTCTTTGAGATCATGGATGAATAAAACAGTCTTGATCACTGACTTCATGGAATATATAGCCTGAGAGAGGAGATAGATATGCAACGGTTACATACAAGCACATGTATGGTGTTATTGTTTAGATTTACAATGTCCCCCATAAATGTGAGTGCTTGGAATGTGATTAGGTTATGGGGATACTAATGCTGTCTTGCTGTTAGGAGGTGGGGTTCAATATGAAGAGGGAGTCACTGTCAGAATAATCTGGAAGGATGTATCTCCCTCCCCAGGTCCTTCCTTCATGCTCTGCTTCCTGGATGCCATGACTTGAACATGTTTCCTCTGATGGTCTTTCTATCACGATGTTTCTGCCTGAAGCTTGCCATCTATACAAGAAAATAAGCCTCTCCTTCTTTAATCTGTGAGTATTGGTTATTTCATCCCAGAGATGAGGAAAATGACTAAGGCAGATGATTAGAAGTTCAGGGTCAGCCCCATGAAGAGAAATTTGATGGAATTACAGTATGTGAGATAACCTTACCAGACCCAAGCTGTCTGGATGGAGGTTCTCAACGAAACCACCTCCACAGTTGTGATTAAAAGCTGAATGTTAAACTCTGCATAACCTAGGTGAGGATTATTGAAGTGAGAAGATTATTCACATACACAGCCTACATTCGAGAAGAGTGAATTCCTTTTGAATAATTAAAAACAACAAAAGCTAGATCTTGGTGTATCATTTCTGAGAAAAAGTAGGGTATTGAGCACCATGTCCTTGAGATGCTTTTTTTCTGTGTGTTCCCAAGACTCTTGCCAAGTCAAGGGGACATTGTAAGCATCCAGATAAGTATTATCTAAGGGACACCGAGAAAGGAGTAAACTCACGTAATCTGTAGATACGGCCTTCCTGCCCGAATGCAGAGTCAACTTTTCCCAGGAATGCTAGGCATACAATGGAACAAAGCAAGTTGTTGATGTCACCTCTGTGTAGTTGCGTCTATAAAAAGTGTCTCTTGTGATACCTCTGTACAGATCAGAGCTGGCTGCCACTGGACACCCCATGTCCCTTCTGGAGGCTTCCTCTGTCACCTACTGCCACTAATCCTACCGGAGGGTCTTCTATCCAGCCTGTCCGTACTGGACACTCTACTGTAAGTATATCTCAATTTATTCTATTCTTTCCTGATAATAATGATTATTATTGATTTTTAAAAGGCCTGAATTCTCACAAACCATATTGGGCTGTTTTCTTCGGTCTCATGGCTCCCTATTCTACTGTCCCAGCACTATAGACAAGACACGTGGTAAGAAAGATGGGCAAATCAGGAGGTAAACTTTGGAAAGCTCATATTAATGTCATTAAATACTTCTTAAAATAGTTTGTCATCTGTCCACATAGAAACTATTCATAGGTATACATTCTTTCTGTTTTCCGTTGATCTTTTTTGATATTCAAAAACAAAGTGTCAGTATCGCAGAAGACTGTAATTGAGGGAAATCTAACCTTTGAGATTTTTTTACACTCAGGAGTACATTCACAGTTCTACCAATAGGTAGCACCATAAAATTCGTGTGCTGTAACTATCTACTGATCCAACAGTATACCATTGAGACCACTTTGACAGATTAAGCAATCGGGGACTCTAAGAGAGGTTTTTTGTTTTTTGTTTTTCGTTTTCTAAACCAGTGTGATCTACTGCCATGCTCTGGGTATTTTCCTCATTTCAAAAGGCATAATGTTCTCTGTTTCAAAATGAAGATCATGAAGCTCTAGTAAATAGATTGATCTTCTTATGATTGATAGAAAATTCAATGTATCTCAATCAAGGCCCTTGGTTTCTAGAATATCCTGCCAGAAAGAATAATGGGAGGGTATGTGGACAGATATTAATAACCAATATTCATTCATTCATTAATCCATTAATTTTTTTCTCCAATGTTAATTGAATATTTAATTACGGAAAAATAGCTGGAAACTGAGACTATAAACAAGAACATCTATACATTTTCTTGTACCTGCCAGAGTTATAATGTATTCCTGATATTAACCATGTAGTCTAAATTACCTACCTGCAATAAATGCAAAACAGAATCTTTGAGGAAAGTGAAGGAAGGGAATCTGTGAGCGAAGTTGTGGCAGGGAAGGGGTTGAATGTAAGAGTGATGACTAGTGGATTAAGCTTAGTCCTACTGCTGTTTAATAGCTTTTAGTTAAGCTCATAATGTGTGCAAGGCTCTATAATTGGTGTTGATATCACCAATCTATGTGGAGTGATATTGAATGAATAGCACATTTTATTTTGGTAAAAGTTTGAAAAATCACTCTCTCATCAGAAAGCTAGGGAAAATCCTAGTTCCTAATATATTGTGCAATTCAAATTTTCAAGGAGATTACAAATTAAACCACATACAGGTACAGTGTAACTAATAGCATGAAAGTAATGCTTTTAAGTCCAATATCCATTTCATGAAGCATGTATAAAACCAGTAGATAAATTGAAAATGTTTAATTTTATTGTCTAAAATTTGTATATGTGGAACACAGACTGAGGTATTTTTTTCTACTTTATTATTTATGGCTAAAATATTTTTATAAGCACTTTTAAAATAGAACTATAAGATAAATTGAAAGAAAAGGCAGACAGTGCACCTGAGTCCATCACTGGCATATCAGTGCATTGCTTTAAAACCTCTGAGTGACCATGTGGGCCAATAACAGTATTGATCAGTACTCAGCACAGCCCTCTAGAGAGGTGCAAGTGGTCTCCGGTGTGACAGATGGACATCAAGCCTGGCTTGCAGCCAAGATTTCCTGAGAGATGTACTGGTAACCTTGTGATCTTGGGGCTGGATGAATCCATTTTTGTTAGTTGGCTTTGGTTCTTCAGAGATCGGAAGGGAAAAGTATTTGTAACTGCAGACAGCAGAGCTTCTTTGTGAAAGAGTAGAACTGGCTGGAGACAGGTGACCATGACCACAGCTAAGGTGAATTTAGTGCTGCATAATATGGAATTCCTTTCTACAATGCTTTGAAACGTTTCCACTAAGGCTTTACATCTTTTTTAACAGTAGAATCTTTAGTATATTTAAAAGAAGGCATATTTTATGTTCTCATTCTAGATCCACTGAATCCCACTATAAGAGAGAGCAATTTTAAAGTAAAATTATACAATCATCTGAACAAAATTATAGACATTCAGAACATTCCATTAAAAAAAAAAACAAAACAAAGAAAAGAATAATATCCAGAAAACAGCAAAGTTCTGTTGCTGTTGTGGTACCTGGCACCATTTTTTCTATTAGCCTCTTAATCATCATCTGGAAAGAGAACATTGTAGAGTAATATCATTTTATGTAGCTCTGATAAAGCGTGGTCCCTACTATGTATCATAAAGCAAGTACTAGATATTTTACATTCATAGAGGTATGATACAGTACCGTCCTACATCAATAATACTAGATTCAGTTTTGGTTTGAAATTTACTTTGTCTGCAAATAAGATTGCTACTCCTGTTTTTTACTGGGCTCCTGT